AGAAATCATAAATTCATTTATTATTTTATGGAGTTTCAGTATCATAAATTTTGAATACATGTGCATTAACATGTAAACTCCACTGAATCTAAATCTTCCAATTAATCATATTGGCAACTGAAACACCCTTTCCCTTAAGACGAGACAGGCCCCTAACCTCCTAGCCTTCCAGAAAGAAGAGCTGTCTTTTTCCAGCAGCATCAGAGCAGAGTAAGGCTAGAGCCCAGCTGATGCATGAGGTGTCTTCTTTTGAGGGTATTAGATGAATAGGTATACCAATCAATCAATCAAACAAACAAACAAACAAATACAATTCTAAAATGCCTACCTTTTAATTATTTCCAACTATTTTTATTGCTTACAAACTCAAACATTACCAATCAGAAGAAAAAAAATACTGAATATTTATTATTAATAATTTTATTATTAATAATATAATTACAAGTTATCTAGCATTTAACATTATATATTTTTTCTTGAATATGAACTTCCATAAACCTAGATATTTAATATTGTGTTTTTCACAATATATTGATTTGGTTCCAGAAAACTATGAACAGAAAGAGTTCAATATAGTTCCTCCCAATAATGCATAAAATACCATTCCAAAGAAGCTCTTCATTTTCAGAAATAACATTTAGGAGAGTGTTACAGATATATATATATATATGAAAAACTATAGTTCTGTGGCAAAAGTCCTCTATTCTAATTTTTTAAAAATACTCTTGGCATCGGATAGTGGTCATCTAAGTCATTTAAAGGCCAATATGTTAACAGTAAATAAATGACGCAAAAAGGATTAAAATCTAATTTAGCAAGAATCTACATATTTCAAAAGAGTCTGAAAGCTTTCAAGTTCTCTAGACATTTAATCAGTCTGGTAGTATAAAAAGAAAGGGAAATGAACTGCTGTTGTCAAGACCCAAATAGTTGAGCAAGATCAAGAATCATTAGTCTAGAAATAAATGACAAATTTTGAATATTGCAAGAGGAATTTCCAACCCTCATTTCCAGAAAATGAAACCAGGTTAGCATCAAATCTAATAACCTTCCAGAAATAGGTAAATTTGTGAAAGTATTTAGGGCAGGGGTGGGCTGTTACTGGTTTGCCCTGGTTTGCTAATTTTATCATTTTTAATTGCCGGTTCGGTGAACTAGCAAATCCCAACCCTGGCTGGCCCCTCCCCTCCCAGGAGTCTCCATTTTGGTTCCCAGGTAAGTACAGGGCCTGTGTGGAGGTTTGGGGAGGGCAAAAAACAGGCCTCCCAGAGGCTCCGAAAGGTCTGGCCTCCAGAGGGCCTCCGGAGCCTGGGGAGGCAGTTTTCACCCTCTTGGAAGCTCGAGAAAAGCTTCCAGAGCTCGGGAAGAGCAAAATGCCCCCACCCTGTGGTGCAGGAAGCCCACTAGACTACACCCACCATGGCCATGCCCACCCAGCAGAGAACCGGTTGCTAAAATTTTGGAAGCCCACCCTTGATTTAGGGGATAAAGCTGATACCATCAGTGACATTAGTATTCGTTGGGTAATATATCTTCTGATATTTTACTTATGTGAATGGCCAACACAAAAATAGGTTGGGGTGATTTGATTGTCTGGAGAGAATGAAATTTGAATTGCAAAAGAAAGAAAGGAAGAGACCGAAGAAGTTGTGTGTTACATGAATTCATAAAAAAAGAATGTGAAAAATTTAAAGAACAAAGGATAATGCATGAAGTCATGTATAAACATGACAGAAGCCAGCATGGTTTGCAAGTGAAAAGTGTGGAGAGATATAAGAATGCTTTTATTGCAAATTACTTTTAATTATAAATCTTTTCCTTACCTTATTTACCTTCTTACCCCTATTTTCTTTGGCTTATTACTTCTTTCTCTTTTTCTATGCTTTGCATAAATATTTCTTATCAAAAGTAAATAGCATGATGGGTATAAAGGATGGGGAAATGGCATGATAAAATGTAATCTTGAGAATGGCATTAAAATATATGATATTTTTCACCATTGCAATGTTAGACTTTGGATTCACCTAAGCTTTGTCAACATTTCTCATATATCATATAATGATGGAAAAGAGGAGAAACATTCTCTCTGATGAGAACTGGGAAACTACTAGCTCTGACCCAACAAAAACATGTATATGGGAAGTGCATTTAGTCCCATCTGGATGAAAACTTTGTCTTTGAATTAAATGATTCAAGTATCCCATGCTTGTTTTGCCTTTAAGAGTGAAAAATCAGTGCCTTCCTTTGATTTATTGACAGGGTTTAATTCTTTTCTTACTGGGTGCCCTTTGGTTTTGGTGGGACTGTCACTATCAGCTTTCTCATATCTGGAGGAATTGGGGCGGGGGAAGTCTGGCCTGCAAATGTAAGTAATATAATTTGTAGAGCTTTGTGATGCAAGTTATTGTGACTATTGCTGGTTCAGAGGATTTTAAAAGCAATAGAAGGTGGGATTTTTTTTAATGTATCAAATGTGTTAAAGCCCTGGCAGTCAAAATGGAAGGCCCACATTGAGAAGGGTAACCAACAGACACCAAGCAGTAAAAGAGGAAAAGACTGTGGTCTTCAAGTCTAATGGCATAAAATAAATAACTTTATCAGGATTAAGAATTTTTTTGGCAGGGGAAAGTATATACTGTAGATGGAGTACTTGGAAGCCAAAGCTAATGTATGTTGCCAACTAAAACTGCTTAGAAAAAAGTAAAGAGGCTGGATGGTAAATTTGGAGTGTACGCTTTCTATGGCTGTATCTGTGTTTTGGTGGAAGTATTCTCAGTATCACCTGTTTTTCTTTTTGCAATATGTTGCTGACCCATATTGAGGACAAATATGATTAGATTTTGGGTTCTCAGAAGTGAACTGTGCCTTCTTCTTAAACTCACAATCTCTTTCTTATCACAGGAAGGAGGCAAAGTTTTCCTTCTGCTATTATTTAACCTCACTTTGTTATTCTTTCTAAACTGATAGACAGTACGTAATATTCCTGGTTAATTAGAAATGTGCTAGTTAAAACTCAATTTTGTTATGTAGATGAAAAAACAGTAAAGCAGTAAAGAGATTTTCTGCCAGTAGCTTGTATTTAAGGACAAAAGTATTCTGAAAAACATTTTTAAGTAGAAGAATTGCAGTCAAATGAAGCTGGAACTCAGTAAGGGGATAAATTGATGTGTGAGAGGATATTGCCAGTGTCATAGCCGTTAATTACACTATTTGTGATCCAAATTAAGCTTTGCCATATTGTAAAATTCCTGAATATATCAATAAATTTTTGTTGTTATATGTGACTTAAAAGTGATTTGTTAGTTACATTTAGCTGGGGATGATTTTGGGCTTCAGAAAGAGTTTCCAAAATGAGTCTATATTAAGAAAACCAGCTGTAATTATTTGAGAATGAGAGTAGTGCTATTGCACATAATGGCAAAATATTTTTAGTGTTCTGTTTAGACTTGCATATTTTGCCTTAATCTGGGCATTATCTCATGCTTATTCTTATGAATTACCAATCTTGGAGTCAAACAGCAGAATAGAAAAAACTCCTTGCCTTCAATAGCTGAGACTTCTAACATTCTGAAAAGTTCTAGAAGGATATGATTTCAATTACTCTCATTGAAAAAAAATGTGCTCTTCATTGATCATAATTTCTATAAAATAACTAAAATCACTGTATTTATATTGACACATCAATTCCAAATGTAGGTTTGAAAGACATATATAATCTCCATGACCTTTGAAAGTAAAAAGGCAACAACTCAAGGAGAAGTAGTTCTCAAGACATGGTGTCTGAATACCTAACAGTTACTCTAGTCTAGACACTTTATATGTGTTTCATAAATTTTCTTAAATGTCAATCTGTTTATGAATATTGGTTTACTGAGAAGTTTAACATCAATTTATGTGCACTGTGCATATTGTGATATGCCATGATACTCTGCTTCTTAAAATGCTAAAACTATTCATAATATTGTTCTGCCAGTTCACCCTGCTTTGTCCTTATTTCAAAAGCATGATGCAAGTCTAAATTTATATTTAGCATTTGTGCAATTCAGTTGTAGCAGTGTAAGTTAAAATGGTTATCCAAACTATTTGTAACTGATTGCTTATTACTTGGTAATTCTTAACACAGGGCAATATAGGAAAGAGAGAAGTAACTGTTTGATCAGTTTGCCCTGTTTATTAACACATAATATGTGAACAGAGTCTGCATGGAGTCAAGCTGTTTTGTTTTCCATATTTCAAATGAAGACTTATTTGCTTGGTCCCCAGAAAGCATTTAAAAAGGATCTTCACAAAACAGATTAACATGATGAAGCATTTCTCCTTGAAACATTACACATAGTACTTGACTTACAACCGATTGCTTAGCAATTGTTCTAAGTTATAACAGACCTCCCTGGGGGTACTTACAACCTTGTTCCAGAGTGGGCCATGTTGTAAAGTACTCTTACTTCAGCTTTCCTATACTTGCTTGTGAAGAACATTAATGTGAGGATTGATCATAATGTTACTTTTTCATCATTTTGATAATATTAATGCCTAAACCATGGAACCGTGAAAAGTTGGGAGGAAATTATGATAATTAGAATGAAATGAATGAAATTTAAACATTGTGTGTAAAAACACATTGATGTTATTAGCAGTGAAGCACAAAAATACAACATGTAGAAAGATTGAAATTGTATTTGGTTGACTGACCGATTACTTGTGTAGTTAATCTTTCATTGAAAATAAATCTAATATATTTTCTTGTATTCTAAAAATCCATCTTTTATATCTGACATCAACAAAGCTTTCAATTTTTAATGTCAGTTATAGATATTTTAAAATGACTAAGTGCACTAACATATTTGTTCCCTCACCTGTTGAAAAATCAATACTGATACATTAGGTAGTTAGGAGAAATAATCAGATAAACATCCAGTGCTTCCTGCCCCCTTTTGTCTTGTAAAATGAATTTCAGGGCCTTTTATATTAAAAAATATGTTTACTTTCTTTTGCCCTAGTTTAGACTTGGATCATTGAAATTACAAAGAGTTACAAACTCACCTGAAGTCATTAGAGAGTTGATTATCCATTGCCTAGATTGTGTAAAAGAACTACATGCCAAAAATGATCACCTACAAAAAGAGAATGAAAGGCTTCTGAATAATCTGGGTGACATGCAAGAACAGTAAGTTGAAAAATAATATTCACAGGTTTTTTTAAACTTTTCTTCTGATTCCCTCATACTTTTTATTATGTGAATATAATGCCTATTTACTAAACCAGGGATTAATTAACCAGGAATTAATTAAATCAGTTGGATATGACCTTTATTGGATTACATCCATCAGTGAAAACACAGAAATATATTTTCTCGCTGTTTAAGTCCTGCTGAAAATTTGAATCTTGCTAGGATGTATTGCACAGAGATATTTATTTATATATTGATACGTTTTTATTATTTCTAGACTGTTCTTTCTTACCACTCCCCAAACTAATTAAAACTTAATTTATGTACAGGAGTTCTGCAGGTAGTTGATTAGTATCTCTAATGTTTCTAGCAAGATTTACCGAATTGACCTCTGCAGTAATGATACCCAGTCATTTGCATTTAAATTACTTGACTTATTTATTAGCTATTTAATATTCACATCATATGATTCTTTGTCATTTATGAAGTTATTTAGTAGATAAAGCTGTAAAAGTTATGTTTTCTAACATTTTGACATGGACTAGTGTGCGAGGACTCAAATATATTTGATATAAATAAAAAGTTTAAATGCATTTAGTCATTTAATGTACAAAAAGAAATGTGCTTTTAAATTGGAAGACTGAAGTGCTCTATCCTATTCTACAGTATTCCAATTCTACATTGCTTTACTTATAGGATGATGCATGTAGAATTAATATATTATACATACACATGATATAATACACATACATACTCCTATGTATTATATCAGATATATTTAGTGCCATTGTGGATGGATGTTTTGATGGGTAAATCCCCAACATCAGTAACAATTTGCAATTACTATATGTAGATTCAATGTTTTAGTGCTCGTGTAGTAGCATGACAAGTGATTGCACTTCTGGAAAGTTTGGCAATACTTTGCTTTTCTAATTAATGAGACTGTACAGCAGAACGAGATTCCATATGGTCCTGATACACATGTGGTAGTACTAACAAAATGACCTATTTATAAAATAGCTGCTATCAACTGGCAGATTTAATCCCAAATTCATTTACTGGCAGGCAAAGTAGCTCTCAGGATGCTTTCTGTCAACTCACTGGGACACTGAGAGATTGAAAGGTATTGTTGCAGCAAATTAGATGCTAGAAAATGATGCTTTACTTTCAGAATACAAGCAGTACGCATGCTAGCAATATGCATTGTGCAAATAAATTGATAGCATTCAGTATGAGCCTGCATATTTTGAGATTTTTTTTCCATAAGCTATTATATAGGTTTTTAAAAATTCAGCATGTATCTTTGATATTCAATTAAAATAATTATCTCTTCCAAATGTAAAATCAATAAATATGTATAATATTTGTATCAATAATGAAATCATAATCAAATTATTTTGCTGGTATAGTTGTGCTTCTATTCACTGTCATCATTTCTGCCATACTCGATGACTTTGATTTAAGCTTCCCAAGATCAACATTGTATTTTTTTACAATTATCTTATTCTTTATTATGCAATTAACAAAGGCATTTGTTTTTAAGATTACAAAAATGTGTTGAAGCTAAAGAAGAACTGGAAACTGATCTTTATAAGCGATTTGTCTTGGTCCTCAATGAAAAGAAAACAAAGATAAGAAGTTTACTGAAACATTTAAAAGAAGTCAAAGAAATTGTACCAGAAACTGCACAAGCAAGGTATAATTTATTATTTTCCTTCCACTAAGTAAACATCATGCATGAAATAGATGTAGCTCTGTTCTTTATTTTGCGCAGGCTTCAAAATTCAAGGACTGCATGTCCTTGAAATGAAGTAATATATTACTTAGTTCTATAGAACTAAGCAATTCAGCATTCTCATGAATGGCAATGATGCATTTATTGTAGTAAGGTGACCAACCACCTCCTTTAGGGAGGACAGTCCTCCTTTTGTAAGTTCTGTCCTCCCTCGAAAAGTGTCCTCCTACATGTCCTCCTTTTTGATATTTGAAGACTAATCTATAAATCTCCGTATTTGATCGATGCCTTCCAATCCGTTGTGTGTGATGTGACGTATTTGACATAACGATTCATCAAGGCTCATTACAGTGTGGCGAGATGCGATTATGAGATGCATGCGCTCCACACAGGAGAATTGTTTTGAGGGAGTGTGACGCGCGCAAGAGTGTGCTGTACGCAAGAATGCGCCAGCTTTGTTTTTTTTCTTCAGTTTATTTGTGTCCTCCTTTTCATTGTAAAAAAGTTGGTCACCTTAATTGTAGTGTATATTTGAAGCATTCTATTTAATAATTTAATATGTTTAATTTATTTATTAAACTGCATATTTTTAAAATATAATAGTTAATGAGAAATGAAATCTGAAAACTATTTTCTCTTGCAAATGATCTACTTATGGGTCTGTGATTGCTAGAGAATACTAATTGAAAGTAAGTGTTTTCCCTATAAATTCATTAAAAATATTTCAGCTTAGGTTGATGTCATTGAACCTAACAATGGGGCCTAAAAATGGCCATTTTTCTTAATAAGACTTAAAGATTAAAGCCGCTCTGTATTCATATATAATTCAGAAAATATCAAACTACTAAATGTGCAGAGTTTTGCAGTAACAATAGTATTATAATGCTATTGATATTAGGATTATGCTGTAATCTTTTTTCCAAGCCTAAATAGTGATTCAAAGTATACATGCAATGTTTATCAGGAACATTTTGAAACTATTTAAGATATTCTTGGTAGGAGCTACATCTTTTAGGAATACCCAGGGGTCAATACACACCTATAAATGGAATAAATACATCTAGTTCGTAAGTTAAACCATTCATTTAATGACCTTTTGAAGTTATGGTAATGCTGAACGGGTGGTCCCTGACATTTCAGCCATTGCAGCACCCTTGCAGTGTCACATTATTAAAATTTTAGGCGCTTGGCAGCCAGCCCGCACTTATGACTGCAAGCTCCTCCATCTACCTATCTCTTCCCCACCCCATCTTTGCCCTTTTAGTTGCCCTGCTCTGACTAACACTGCAGGCATTGTCACTCTGGTCCTGCTGCCTCTGCTAGCCTTGGTGGCTCCAATTGACCTTTGCTGTCTTCCTCCTGCATTTTTTCCTGAGGCCTCAGCTGCCTTTTGCGCAAAGTGCATGTGGCCTTGTCTAAACTGTGTATGGCTTTCTCATGAGAAAGGCACCTGTGCTTTCATATAGTTGTGTATATAATAATTGCCTTTTTTTAAAGGCTAGAAAAAAACAATGACTTCTTTCTGTATTGTTGCCAATAAAATATTTACATAATTATCATAAACTCCACTGACATAAGAATGTCTTTACTTAAATAAAATTATGGATCAACTTTGGTTAAGTCTTGCCTTGAGATGAAATTTTTGAACTTAAATATATAAATGGGATTGAAATAAACATTAAATTTAACCAGGAGACCACTTCATTTCTTATATTTATATTTGTTTTTATTATTACATTGACTTCAACACACAATGATGGTAATATAAGATATATAATTGAAAACATTTCTGGAGATAATTATAATGCATGCTTATAGGCTAAAAATACAATTTTTTTGTTCTGGTATGAAAGAAAGTTATATAGAACCTGACTATGTTTGTGACCTGGGAGTATTTTTATTATGACATTTTTATGATTAACATAGCTACCTTGCTTTGCTTTTATTTCTATTTAAATATATAATGTGAGAATTTATATAATAGGATTCCTGATAACATACCCTACAATCATCTCTATAGGATTTAGTTATTGGAAAATACATTATCTTACTGGTTAATCTGTCATGTTAGAATAGATTTGGCATGCACCAAAAGCTAAGCATATACTTACTTTTTCCCTAAGGCACTGAATGACTGCAAAGTTTGATTTAATGTTATAGAAATGTTATATACAGAGTTTTGCTGTGCCATAAATTGGGAAGAAAACATACGACAGTGTCACAGATAAGATATTAAAAGTTTAATGAGAACCAGCATCTGTCAACATTATTGGTAACATTTAGACAAATAGGACTAACATTGACTTTCATGGCTTTGAATGTCTCACATTGGCAGTGGGACAACAGCTATTAAAGCATTTTTGTAAAATTGAAGCCAGAGATTAGGGAAAGAAAATAGAGTGTGGAGATATAAAGAATTCAAAAGGAAAAAGAGTGAAAAGTTCAATAACAAATAAAATATATAATAAAATGTGTGTTCTCTATTCCTTTCACTTATTTATTTAATTTATATGCCCTTCCTCTACCCTCAACTCCCAAACAACTCTGCGACTTACAACTAAGGTGGGTAGATAGATAGGTGGGTAGGTAGGTAAGCAGGTAAGTAGGTAGTAGACAAGAAGGAAGGAGGGAGGGAGGAAAGATGATACAACTGATCTTAAGAGCCAATATTCATAAGAAGTATTCAACATGAATCAAAACAAAGCAAAACAAACAAAAGGACAAAAGGAGGGTCCTAGAATCACCTTGTACCCAACGCCTGAGAAAACGACCTTCAATAGTTTCTTGAATGTCAGAATGCTGGGAACGACACAAATCTCTTTTGTCTATTTTCAGTCTCCATCATTGCAACAAGAAATGTGTTTGTAAAAATAATTTACTATTTCAAATGCTACCCAACATTATAAAGTAAAATTAATTAAAACCATTCCTTTTTTTCTACTAAGGCATATTGTCCCTTTCTTGCCTTTTTATGAACTTCATATGTTCTACAATACTGGTGTATTTTGATAAAGTTTTGAATTTTTTTTAGGGACACAGTAATTGCTTCAAAAAGTACAGTTGAAAAAGAAAATTATGAAGGAAGCACTGATGAAGAAAGTGAAAATTTGATACAACTGACAACATCAGAGTCAAGTAAGATAGACCAAGTTGCTTATATTGATGTCATTACAACCATCCATTCTAATTGATCCAAACTGTCAGGTTCCTTATTAATATGAAAGCATACAATTTTAAAAGCTTTAATCTTGGAGAGAATCATGTACAGTAAGTCCATTTTGGTGCTTTAAAAATCAAAATATTAAGATACAGATTTTTCTAATAATAATAAGGTACCGGAATGAAAGCTGTGCATTGAGATAGATAGCGCACTGAAAAGATTATAAATGCCTTTATAGAATTGGAAATGGTTACAAAATGTATAGTAGACTGAAAGAACAACCATCCAGTCAGTCCTGAACTTAATTAAAGACTGACTTATTGAATTGATGATTATTAACGGGAACTCAGTTACTATAGACGTGGTGAAAAAGAACTGAACTCAGGAAAAAATTGCATTCTTGACAGGCAGACAACTCATTGACTTTTTCCCCTTTTATATTTAATTTGGTGAAACAAAATTAAATATTTAATTTTGCTTTATATTTAATTTGGTGAAACAATTTGCTTAATTTTTTTTAATTATCGGGAGGAAGCAATTGTCCTTTCACTGATTTTGAGATAGATGGCCAAAGGACGTTTTTATTATGGAATCCTCTTTCCCTCTTTAGTTTAATCTCCAGAGAACTTCTGTTTGGCTTCTTCAGTAACAGGACTTTTCTAAGTTGTAGTAGGCTGCTGGAAATCGTTGGATAATTTCTCTTCTTCCAGAGGAATTTGGACATCATCCACTCATTTCTTTGCTCAGAAATTTGGTGAAAAATCTCAGCTGTTCCCTTTTCTAGTTCTGTATGTTTTTGATACAGTGAAAAACAACCAGAAAATTTTGAAAAAGCAAATACATGGAAGAGGGACCTGACTTTATTTTTATATATTAGAAGTACTTCTCGACTTACAACCACAATTGGGACTGGAAATTTAGTTACTAAGCAATGTAGTTGTATAGCAAGATAACACAGGGCTGCATACTTAGTGATACCAACTCTGGTAATTCCTGTTGCCATCATTAAGCAATTTTTACTGGTTGTTAGCCAAGGACCCACCCAGTGCCTTCCAACATTTAGCCTCAGTAAGATAAGGGACTGCCTTCAACTTCTCTCACCCACTTCCCCCCCCCCACCCATCTTTGCCCTTTTGTTTACCATGCAAGGCTCTGGGGCTGCTTGCCACACCGTGGGAAGCCAACACCCCAGCCCAGTCCTGTTGTCCTCGCCACCCTGCACTCCAAGATCCCTGCTGCCCTGCACTCTTCCATTCCATCTAACCTTTGCAGTCTTCTTGCCTGACCTGGCTGCAGGGATGCCTGACCTGGCTGCCTCACCTGCTCTGAAGCTGGCTTTGCATTGCAAAATGGGGGTTAAGTGTAGGAGAGCCAAAATCAGCCCTTGAGCCATGTTGTCCCAAAATGTCTCTTTGGAAAGAGCTACTGGGCAGAGCTGGGGTGTTAGGAGACTAGAAGGTCATAGATGATGGAGAAATTGGCAGGTGAAGGAAGTTGCAGCAACTCCCTCCCCCATACACACACAGTTATTAATGCAGGCAGGCTGCCAAGTACAGAGTTTTGTTTACAGCAACAGCCATAACTTCCTGCATAGATTGTAAGTCCCTTCATTCAGCACATTGTAACTTTGAACAGTCACTGAACAAATGGTCATGTCAAGAATTACTTTCTGAATCATGAATTGATCTCTCATAAGAAGGAAAGACTTTCCATGAATGAAATTATCAAGAACATTGTTATTTTTTAGGAAAAAAACCATAAATGAAGCCTCTTCAGCAGCTTGTAAGGGAAATTGCTCTCACATTAATTCTTAAGCCTATAAATAATGTTGAAGCAATGTCAGGACTCTGACATTTGGTCCTAAGTAGATTTGAAACAGACTCTCAATGTGTGGGTAACTTAAATTGCAAGACTCTTTGTAAATCATTGTGCTCTCTCATGTGTTCAAAACAAATTAGAGTGTAATGTTTATAGGTCTCTTAGCTGTTTATAACTTTTACCTGACACTGCTTTCTTTGGCAAAGCATTGTACTGCTGGGAAGCTGGTTTATTTTGTTTACATATATTGTTGCTCAGACTGGGCTGTTACAGATGTCTTTGGCAAAATTATCCTCAGATCTTTGATTTGCAAAGAGTACTTTATTCTACTTTTTTGTCATTCTTTCCCATAACATTTAAGTTTTTCTGTTTGGTATACATTAGTAATAAAAGCACTCTATTCATTATTTTAACTCATGTCTGGTACTTATTCATGGATTGATTTGGTTGTATTTTCAGCAATTAAAAGACTTGGTTTGTTTTTTTCCTCCATTTTGCAATCTAAATTTGCTATGTAGAAGTAGTTCTTAACAATGCAAATCTCTCATGCCAATGAAATACTGTATTATTTGTTGGTTAATTTTATCTATTTTCTGATAGTCAAAAAATAAAAATATCATGGTGGAGTTAGTTAGCCAGGTATTGCAATTAAAAAATGATTATTTTATCTCAAAAAGTGGTTTCATTTATTTCAGAATGCAAAATCATTTCCCCATTTGTACCTAATACAGCACAACATGTATTCAAAACATTATTTTTCTGCTACGTTTCCATGACATTGCCTTCTGAGTTCATGAGTCAGACTAAGCCATCATTGACTGCCCCAGTATTAAAATAGTCTTTCCATCCTTAAATCAGTGACAATTTCAAGGTTCATAAAATCCATGACACTTCATCACTCATTACATCAGTACTGGATAGGATCAGAGAGGTGCTAATTGGGCATTTCAGCCTGATACGGGTGTGTCCCATCCCTGATGGGTTTGTGCTGTGCCAGAACCGACACAGCAGTGCTGTTGCAGTAGTGTGTCAGATTTGTATAAGGACAGTAGAGCTCTATTTTTTAGTGCAAAGGTTGCCTTTCTGTCCTTTAGCAATTCTGTTACAGCTGCATTCAAATGCTTCCACCCTTGCCTACCCAGAGAGCACAATTTAGCAGATGGACACCATTAAAAAAGGTAGAATGGTGGAAACAATCAGCAGCCATTAATATAAAGGATAATCTCATACTAGTACTAGGTTGCTCAGCTGGCAGTACTGCAAGTGTTTTAACCTTATGGCTTTACTACAAGGCTGAAAGAATAGGACAATTGAATGAATCCACTACCTATACATCTTGAACAGAATACAAAGGCACTAGAAATTTGTATATTTATGTATGTAAAGAAAGGAAACGAAGCAAAAGAAATCCAAAATAAAAATACTGCTTTTTATCATTTCCAATCTTTAATGTAGGGATTTTTCAAAGTTAAGTTCAGGTTGTGGCAGGCAGAATGTGGTGTGGTAAAGAAGGGTTATAAAAAGGAGGGTAAATATGATGGAACTGAATAAATGCAAAAGGGACACATAAAGTTCATCAATGTGACAGCAGTTTTATTTTAATACTAGACAAGTAACACTTTGGAATACATTCAGAGAGGTATCTGACCTGAAAAGATGCCACGTTGAACTATATAGCAGAGTCAAACATCAGCACAGGAAATGTCTTATGACATTTTGAATTATGCCATAAACTGCTTTATGATAATGTTTCATAATTTAATGTCTAATAAAATGTGTTATAAAATTGGCCAACTTTCAATTCCATATGAGGCATGGGTCCTGGATTTTGAGTGCATTAAGTAAGCCCATTTGAGGTACTTTGGTTCAAAAGGTTTTGCCCTTTGGTGCATCATTTTGCCCAGTTAAAGGTTACAGGTATCAGCGCAAAATTATCAAATAGATACTTTTCTGGATGGGTGAATAGCGCTTAATACATCAGGATAGCTTAGAATGTTCTAAAGATTAACTATTAAGATCTCATCTGAATATTAAACTAGATATTTATCGACTTCCATTCTTCATAAAAGCAAATTAGGTTCCAATAAATTCTTCTGATACACATTTATTATTATGCAACAGACATATAACAATGAAGCTCAGAGAAAAGGACTATAATATTACTACACAGGTTCTGTTGATCTAGACCCCTTGAGATGTTTGAGGATGATAGTTTCAAGCTGACATGATCATTAACAGCAATGCAGTAAGTACACTGCAGTTCCAAAATAACTTGAAGGAAAGCAGATCAGCAAGAGCTGGACTAAAAAAAAATATCCTTAGAGCTACACAGGACTTCAGAATTAATTTGGAAAAGTTGTTTGAAGTATGTAGAATTATGAATGAAGCACACTTTAAAGCATCTGCAACTTTTTAAAAGAACAATGTCTTCTCCTTGGATCATGTGGCTGTCCTTAATGCTGCCATACAATCCCAGGGAAAAAATACTTTAAAGAATCATGTGGCTGCATGTTCCAGTGGTTAGAGTGCAGTAATGCAAACTACTTCTGTTGACAGCCAGCTGCCTGCAATTTGGCAGATTGAATTCCACCAGGCTCAAGGTTGACTCAGCCTTCCATCCTTCTGAGGTGGGTAAAATGAGGACCTAGATTGTTGGGGGCAATATGTTGACTTTATAAACTGCTTAGGGAGGGCTGTAAAGCACTATAAAATGGTATATAAGTCTAAGTGCTATTGCTTATTGCTATATGCTGGATAGAGACGTTGATTCTTTTGGATTTGCTTTTCTTCCTCTTTAACTTTCACATGAACTTGAAACATTTTTCAAAACCAGTTCAGAGTGAAACAATAAATGCAAATTGGCTTGAAAGAACTGAAACATGCTTCCTATTAGTATGGTGCTTTTTAATTGTCTTTTAGAATCCTTGACTACAAAATCAATATACTTCTGTTTTGAATAAAAATAGATTGAAGAAAATAGCAGGTATTCTTTGGCAGTAAGGAAACAATGGAATAGTTAAAATTGGTACCCTTAAAATGTATTTGTCAGCAGAGTGGATTAAACAACTTAATCTGAGACTAAATAGGCAACTATGGAGGCTAACAGCAAAGCAAAAGACTTTCTCTTAAATGAAAATCCATACTTGAATCAGAACAT